TTAGGTGACTCCTTCTGAACTAAGACTAGCTTTGCAGCAAGCTAGTGATCCAGCTGGGAGCTACTCCTCCACATACTCATTCATGCATTCATCCACTGATGAAATGCACACTCATGTCTCCTGCCTTCTCCCAGCCAAGCTCTTCCAGGACCCTCAGGCTCAGCAAAGCTCCCCCTCCACCATTCATTCTAACCAATCCTCACCTCCTGAAACAATTACCTTCCGAGGCCAAGGAGATTCTCCCAGAACCTGGGAACTTTATTAGACTGCAGTAATATATTAAAGAAGAGCTTTGAATCACCCGGAGCAAATTCTAATGTGAAGAAATACCACGGTGACAAATACTTTGTTCTGAACTGTTTACTAAATTAAGTCTTTCCTGGACATTTTTAGCCTTCAATTTTTTTAATACCAGCAATAAAGTAGTTGCGTAATTAGTAATAAAGCTGACATTCGGGTTACTGATTTTTTTACTTAGCAGAAAGAGGATAATATGTGTGCGAGTGTCCGTGTGTGTGGGTGTGTGTGTGTGCAGATAATTTCTAACAGCGCTGGTTCTCTGGCTGCAGATGGAGTATTTGCCCTCTCAGCCACTCTGTCCCTGGGCTGTGGGTCGCAGGAAGTTGCCCTGAGCTCTGGACTGGAAATGACTCCCCTTTAGGCGTCAGAGGTTGAATTTCAGCTTCGCAGCTGACTTGTGTGACCTGAGGGGCTCTGGTCTGGGTTTTCTCATCTGGAGGATGAGGAGGTCGGTTGGAAGTGATGCCTAGCTACTGCAGATCCCTCCCGACTCTGGGAGGCGACAGTGACTCGGACTGATGTCTCGTGCCGGCGGCTCCACAGTTAGATCTGAGGACCGAATCCCCTCCTTGTCCGTGTTTCCAGTGATCTTCTGGCCGTCTCTGCTCCGGGGTCTGACCGATGTGTCTGCTGTGTGTGTTAGTCGCTCAGTCGTGTCTGACTCTTCGCAACCCCACGGGCTGTAGCCCGCTAGGCTCCTCTGTCCCTGGGATTCTGCAGGGAATACTGGAGTGGGTTGCCATGCCCTTCTCCAGGGGATCTTCCCGACCCAGGGATCGAACCCGGGTCTCCTGCACTGTAGGCAGAGTCTTTACCATCTGAGCTACAGGGACGTCCTACACCACGTCTCCTCCCGGGTCTCCCGGCCTCTTCTTTCCCAACCTCGCCAGTAGCTAAGGCGGATCTTCCTACAACACAGACAGAGAGGCAAGACCAACCTCGGGGGCTCCTCGTGGCCTCCAGGATACAATTCCAACTCTCAGGACCCAGAATGTTCCACAGCAGCGGTTCTCAGACCGGCCTGCCTGCTGGAATCAACTTAGGGGCTTTGAACAACTGAGGCCCGGGTCGTGTCCAACCCCACCCCCGCCAGCCATAAAGTTCTGACTTGACCAGCAGGGCGTGGCCCGGGCATCAGGAGTGCGTCAAGTCCTGGGATGTTTCTGACGTCGACCACGGATGCCAGCGCCGGCCTCACCTGGGGCTGATCGGAGCCAGGGGCTCTAAGCCCCTCCCCCAGACCCGCAGAACGAGAATCTGCTTTGGAACAAGTGACTGCCGGGCAAGGTCGGGTTCAAGAGGCTGCTCCTGAGATCTGGCCGCTGCTGACTCCTCCCTGGTCTCCCAGCTCCTCCTGGAGCTCGTCAGCCCCAGCCCCTCTGGGGGCATTTCCGCTCTCCTTGCCACTCGGAGCTTGCTCCCAGCCCAGGCCCTTGTTGGCCCCTCTGCCGGGTCCTCAGTCCCTGGCCTTGGCGTGGCTGCTTCCTCTTGCCATCCAGGCCTCCAAGAGCACCCTGTCACCCTGCGCTTCCGGCAAAACCCCAGGAATGTCAGTTCCCTGGGGACAAGGTTCTCACCTCCCTTATTCACCCTTGTCCCCAGAGGTCCTCAGTTAAGAAACACTTTTTAATGGTGAATGAATACTTAGGATAAGCCCTGACCATGATGCGTGCAACCCGCCGTCAGAAATGCGTTTTTTTCCCCCCACCCAGGGTGCTGCCTGATGCTGGGCTCGCAACGCCTCGATTCTGGGGGCAGATGCTGTCTCTGAAAGGCCCCTGGTAAAAGGCAAATTGCTAAAGCCTGCCCTGTCCTTATTCTGGTGGCTCAGCCCACAATGCAGGAGACCTGGGTTCAATCCCTGGGTTGGGAAGACCCTCTGAGGAAGGGAATGGCTAGACTCTGGTGTTCTTGCCTGGAGAATCCCATGACGGAGGAGCCTCGTGAGCTACAGTCCATGGGGTCACAAAGAGTCAGACACGACTGACCAACTAACAGTTTCACTTCCCCGCTCTTACCCTTCTCTCCCCGACCCCTCCCCTGGCCCAGGTGCCATTAGCACAGGGGCTCAGCCCCATTCCAGAGGGGGCAGTTCTGCAAGACAGGGAAGCTCTCCCAACTCTTGGGATGGTCACTTCCCTTCTCTGGGCGGAGCTTGGTCCCCATAGAGAGGGTCTGAGGTCTATACTCCATAGGGTTCAAGCTAATGATGGATGGGAAAGTTTTGCTGACCATTTGAAATAATTCCCCATTTAGAGAGCCTGTCAGCTCATCAATTTAACAGACCTCTACTGAGACCTTGTGTTGGACACTGAGGTCTTAGAGGTGAAGAAAGGAAGCTCCTTGTCTTGAGGGACAAGACCCACCCCCGCTGATTGGAAGTGGGGTGGGGGTGGGGGGCAGCCTAGGTAGGGGCCCCCTCCTTGCAATACCCTAGTGTCTCACCAGAGGGCAGCAGACAGCTTCGCAAGCACCTCCCTCCCAGGAGAGAAGCTGGTGAGAGGGGTGCGTTCCGGGGGCCCAGGGGTGTCTGGGGGTCTGGGGACAGAGAGTGAGGGAGGGCAGGCCACTGATCTATGCCAACTGTGGACTCGACAGAGTGCATCCATCGCGGTCACTGTGTCTGAGGTCTCCACCAATCCTCCTAGACCCAATCCCAGGCAAGCACCCCTGATCTGCACCCCCAGTGTGGGTGGGGACCCACCTGGAGCCTTGGGATCCAGGGTCTGTGCTGCTGGGCAGATTCTGGGGCTTCGGAGGGGCTCCAAGCCAAGAGATGCAGGAGCGTGCAGAGAGAGGAGAAGGAAACGTGCGTGCACGCCCCTGTGCCTGTGCGTGCAGAGGACGCGAGGCCAAAGCCCCCTCGAGGGGAGAGAGGAACCGGGAGCCGGAATAAAGGAGAGGAGGTCATGCTCAGAAAGGAAAACCAAGGAAGCGGAAGGAAAGACGGAAATCCAGAGACTGAAACGAGACTATCAGCCTCTACTGGTGGGAAGCAAAGAGAGGCAAGACTGGTCCTTCACAGCGTCCTGAGTTCCACCCCATGCTAGCGATGTTGGCCTGCCCGGGCTGGGTAGGGAGCAGCAGGTTTGTGTGAGTGGATGATTGTGACCTGGCCTGAGAAGAGCTGAATGCCATGCACAGGATGTTCCTGGAGAACCGTCAGTAGCATTGATTCCGCGCGGGGGCAACAGGGCTGGGGAGGACTGGGTTTGCACATATTGCTGGGCTTCATAAAGGTGAAGAAGGCCAGGAGGCCGCTGGAGGGGAGGAGGGGAGACTGGAGTCAGCACCAGGAGCAGCGGCGGGGGTGGTGGGGGGGTGTGAGGTCAGCAGGCGCAGGCGGGAAGCTGGGGGGGGGGGGTGGGCGGTATCACGCTCAGTGGGGACTTAGGCAGAGCAGCGGAAGCATGTTCGCCTAAATGGATTTCCCAGCAGCTCCATGGAACTGACGCTGCTGGCGGAAGCAGCCAAGGAGACCTGGGAGCCGCACTTCTGGGGCCAGGATCGGGCATCACTCGGTCTCGAGGGTGTCGAGGGGCCTGGGACTGCTGGGCAGTGTCTGTTTTTAAGGTGATGACGAACCTGGCAGCTTCCCACCTGGAGGCGTCACGCGGCTGGGGCCGCAGACCCACTGTGTGCCCACGTGCGTGTACGCCCTCCTGCGGGTACGTGTCGGGGTGACGCCACAAGGTCACGCACCCCCACTAAGTCACTTGACTTCCCAGTGCCTGGCAGGGCGCCTGGCACGGGCTGGTCACTCATAACTGCTCATTGGATGAGCCTGCCCTTGATAGCCCAGAGGCCCTGTGGCTCCAGGGCCCCTCTGAATGCCACAGCGTGGGTGGGAACTCAAGCTTCCCCAGGCACAAGCTGTGTGACCTTGGACAAGTGACCTCACCTCGCTGTTCTTTCCTGTCATCATCTATACAAACAGGGTCTGATGAGCCTGAGATCTGCACTCCATGAGATGGTTGCAGTGGTTAAACATGATGATGGATGGGAAAAAAGTTTTTGCTGACTGTCTAAAATGATAATTCCATATCTGGATAACCTGTCAGCCTATTGATTCAGGAAACGTTTACTGAGGCCCTGGGCTCTCATCCCAGCCCCTGTGTCAGGTGCTGAGGATCTAGAGATGAAGAAGGGAGCGTTCAGCTCTAAGAGACAAGACCCGGGAGGGGTGGCTGAGAGCCGGCCTCTCTGAAGAGCACTTCCCAAGGGCCTGACACAGAGGGTGGGGCCAGAACTCTTCTCTGACGGATGCTCTGAAGCTGGGAGGTCTGGGATGGGGTCCAGTGAAAGCTCTGGCTCAGGAAACGTGGGTACCCTCCACCTTTGGGAGCTAGAGCAAGAATATCTTGTTCCTGGGCCCCACCCCCAGTCAAGGCCCCACCACCTGAGAAACTTACCACTCAGTCTTCTGACAAACAACTTGTGGTATTTGGGGGTGGGGTCCCCTGAGGCTCTGGAAATGGCTGGTGCCTGGGAGGACACCCTGGACTGGGAGGTCACTGGCTGCTCCAGCTGTTCTGTCATCTTTAATCCAAACGAGTCTTGCCCCTGGGGGCATTAGGACATCGTTGGTCGCCCAGTGATGGCTGCAGGCAGCAACTAGAATTATCTGCACCAGATAATTCTAAAGCCGCTTCTTGTGGAATTCTTTGGCTTGCTCATCAGAGCAGGTGGGAGGAGCTGTGTGCAGCAGTGCCTTCCAAATCTCCCTGCCAATCTCGCCCCTTTTACCTGGAAGACTTTTTAAAAGACTGCTTCCCCAGGCCTTGCTCCAAGCTGTTTGAATCAAATTCCATCTTGGTGGGGCCCAGGAATTGACATTTTTAAGCAACTCCCAAGGTGATCCTAATGCAGGTGGAGGGCTGATTGGCCTGTGGTGTAGACACCGCCGCCACCACGGAGGGTTTCTTGCGCTCAGGCGAGGTAACCGGCACCCTCTCCGTAGGCCGCGGTGGGCTGAGAGGAGTGGACTCGGCTGAAAATTCCCTGGGAGGCAGGCTGCAGCCTGCTAAAATAATCCTAAAATAATCCCTGCTTTTGATTTGGGGACCCGGCTGCTCCTTGGGGCTGGAGACCTGGGGTGTTAAATTCTGATGAGACTCAGAGGCAGCTGTTACGAAAAGAGTGTTGAAAGAGCTCAAGGTTCTCCTTGAAACATCACTCTAGCTCATTTGAATTCCTGGATGGAAGATTTCGGGGTGGGAAAGAGGGGTGGGTCTGCAGGTCAAGGACTGGACATGACCTTGACGATTCTGAAAGGGCAGGGTCCGAGTTCACCCACTCTCTCAGCGCACAGTAGGGCAGCCCGGCACATAACAGGGATCCGGCGGGTGCTTGCTGAGTGCTTGAATGAAGAAATGAAGGTCCATTTCCTGATCAAGCAACACGGGTTCTGTATGTTCTGGAGACAAAAGGTGCGTGGTCCCCGATAAGGCGGACAGGGAGGCGAGCTGTGGAGTTCACTCTTGCAAATCAGCAAGGGTCAAAGTGCACTTTTCTTGGCACCAACAGCAGAGGACGGGCCTGCCCAGCTTGCTCACAGCGGACACCACGGAGGAGACCTGAGCACTTCAAAGGGAAGCGAACCCCTCTCTCCTCTTTGGACCCAACGGTGACTGCGTCCATTTAAAAACCAGCTTCGCTTTTTCCTTTGAGCACATTCCAGAGAGCTGAGACTTTGCAGCCTCCACCTGCCCACCCAGAGCAGCCTAGCTGTGACTTCAGCCCTCCCCTCCTTGCCTTCGGGCCTTTGCACACATCACGTCCTCCACCTGTGGTATCCTGGGCTCCTTTGTCTAAAAAACCTACACACACTTCAGGGGCCACTTGAAACGCTACCTTCTCCGTGGTTCGCCCAGTCTCCCCATCTCTGATTCATCACCACATTACATCTGCATCCTCCCCACGACGGCCATCGCCTGATCACCTGAATTGCTCGCTATTTATCTCCATGTTTTATCTCCTCTTTCCTTTCATCCCACAAATATTTATAGTTCCTCTCTAAATGCCAAGTAGGCTCTGGGGGTCACTGAGATGAAAGGAGCGAGCAGAACCTCGGAGGAGATTACGGGCTCGTGGGGGTGGGGCGGGGAGCAGGCTTTAAGCTCACGGAGGGGGGGGCGGCCTTGTGCCCACCGCAGGGCACCGCCTCCCTGCGCCTGTGCTGGGAACGCCGCAAGTGCTCAACACGAGCTATCGAGAGGATACGTGAACACATGCCTCTCCGAGTAATAAAGGAGGTGGCATTTCTTCCCGCGCCCTCAATCCTCCTGGCTCTTCTTGCATTTACCCGATATCTCCCACGCCTCCCTCCCCTGATAAATATGAATTAGGAAGGTGTAGCTATGCGCTCACATTCAGCGCCAAGCCCCCAGGCTCGGCTCCACCTTCCCAGCTGTTCTCAGCCTCCTGCGGCTTTGTGGGGGTGGGGGGGCAGCTGGGGGACCGGCGCAGGGTAACGTGTTCACGGGGCTTGGACATCAGACCCCAGGGAGAGGGCTGGCTCCAAGCCCCACCTCTGCTCCCTGGCCCTGGCCAGCCTGAGGCGGGGTCCCGCTCCACCTCCTAACTGAGCTCATACTTGGAATTTCAGTCCTCAGACCTAAGGAGACAGCTGTCCCCCTCCCCAGACTCCTCCGCAGAAGGCACTGTCTTCCTCTCCTGGGACTCCGCTGAGAAGAAAGGCCGACGTGTCTCCTTGCTCCTGAACTCTGGCCACGCTGGCCCTCTGGCAGCTCGCCAAGCTCTGTCTCAGCGCAGGATCTTTGCACTTGCTATGTCTTTGCCCTGAGATGCCCTCCAGACCTCCACCCCGTCTGCCTGGCTTCCTTTTCCCTCCAGTCCCCTGCTCAGATGTCTCCGGGAGAAGCCTTGTGACCCACTCTGCCTGCTCCCCCTCCCGTGTTCCCTGACTCATCAACTCCATCACCTTCCCTCACTGCCTTCACACAGTCATCACCAACTGTAGATATTTTTCCTTTTTCTTTCAAACACATTTTTACCATCTGTCTCTTCTCACCCCCTGCATTGCAAGGCTCACCAGAGCAGATCTGATTATGTCTCGCTCACCATCTTATCCACAGCACCATCCCTGACATGAAGCAATTGCTTGATTCCTTTGTGATAAATAAATGATGCCTGTGTTGGGGAAAGGTGCGGAGGCCTGAATTCCATCTTCCTAAGTTTATTCCACAGTAGGGAGAGCATCAGTGGAAGACATCCACCCCGCCTTCCACCACTAACTCATCCACCCCACAATTATCTACAAATTGTGCAGGGATGCTGGGCTGGGGGCTGGGGAGACAGCAATGAAAACATCACCCCCAATCCCTGTCCTCATGCGACTTCCGGTCAAGTGCAGGAGGCACTTTGAATACCCAGTGTCAGGGCAGGGAGTGTGTGGTGGGGGGGGAGGGTGCAAGGGTGCTGGGGAGCTGCCCCAGCCTGAGCAGTCAGGAAGGGCTTCCTGGAGGAAGCAGCATTTCAGCTGAACCTGGAAGGATGACTAGGGCCTTGGCAAAGGGAGCTGGGCCAGGTGTGGGAAGGGCACACTCTTGACCCCTTGAGTCTAGATTTCCCTCATTGACAAAAGGGGGCTGGTGAAGCCTGCTCAGTGTTCCTGGAGACACCCTGGGCTGATGGCTGGGACAGGGACCACAGAGGGCTTCGGGAATGGAGGGGGCGACCTGTGGGGGGTGGGGAGCAGGGGTGGGGGAGGCTCGCTGTGCTTCAACCGGACCTCCAAGGAGGCCACAGCTGCCATCTGGGGGTGGCCACGCGCTGAAGGGATTAACGCGCTTTGCCCACACTGTCTCCCCGTCGGTAGGGAAGCCCCACCTGTCCACCTGTTCCCGGCTGATGGGACAGGTGAACGGGGCCCAAGGCCGGGCCTGGGAGGACAGGCGGGGAGGATGGTGGATATGCAGGAGGCCAGCAGGTGGGACTGTCATCTGCATCCTCTGTCCCCACTTCGAGGCCTCTGAGAGGCAGAACTGGAAACGAAGAATCAGTTGGGAGCTGATGGCTTATTTGGGAGGCTGGACCAGGAGTGGGGATGGAGGGGGAAGGGAGGTGACACTGGTGCCTCTTGGAGCTTTTTCTAGGGGAAGCTGAACCTCAGTCCAGCTGGGGAACCCGTGGACAGCGGAGAAGACATGTCGGAATAGCTGCACCTGAGGTGATGCATCCAACACCTCCCGTCGGTCGTTAGCCAAGGCTGTCCCCAGACGCCCTGGCACTTGGGCTCCAACATTTACACACCTGCCTCATCCCACCGCCAACGTCTGCTGCCCAGCCCACAGGCCTAAGCCCAGGGCCCCCACCCTGGGAGGCTCTGCCTTACTTCTCCTGACCCTGCAAGCAGCTCCCCCATCACAGGATCGCCATTGGACTCATGTCTTTGTAGAACTAGTCATGACACATTTATAGTCATCTTGCTTCTCTTGTTTCTGCTCGGTCTTACCCATGAGAGTGTGAAGGCCAATCTTTCCTGTTCCTCTCTGGATCCCCAGCACCCTGCATCACGCCAGCTCCTAGTAGGTGCTCAATTAAATATCTCTTGGACTTCCCTGGTGGCTCAGAGGGTAAAGTGTCTGCCTACAATGCGGGAGACCAGGGTTCAATCCCTGGGTTGGGAAGATCCCATGGAGAAGGAAATGGCAACCCCCTCCAGTATTCCTGCCTGGAGAATCCCATGGACGGAGGAGCCTGATAGGCTACAGTCCACAGGGTTGCAAAGAGTCAAAAGAGTCGGACACTACTGAGCGACTTCACTTTCTTTCTTTCTTTCTTTTCTTTGAAGGGATAAATTGCTGTCAATTCCAAGCTGGAAGTTCTGGGCTCTGAGGCTCCAAACAAGAAAGGCATGTGATAGATGGAATCTTGGGGTGGGGGGGATGGTTCTGGGAAGGGCAGTAACCTGCCCAAGAGATCATGAACTGGGATCCTATAACTGCACCCCCACCTGGGACAGAAGCCCTGGCACCCCACCCAACTCCCACACCTCAGGGCCCCCACTGGTGGGGGGAGAAGCTCTGGGGGGTCCCTGGGGCCCCCATGGCCCCTCAGAAACTGCTCTCTGCCAACTCTTGTTCATCTTCTCAGCCTCTTCTTACCCCACTCTCCCCAGCTGAAGAGGAAGTGGCCCAGACAGCTGTGGAGCTGGGACTCTCTCTAGAAGAGATGCATTAATTTGTAAATATCCTTATTTACATGTAAATGTGGAGTCCCGCGCCTCCCGCCAGCCCAAGCGGAGCCCTGCAGGCTGAGGAGCAGGGCCGCCAGCACAGCCAAGACCCGAGGGTCTGCTCCTTCCTCCCCTCTCCTGTGGCCTCCAGGCCGCCCCGGCGCTGCTGCTCTCGGCCTGGGAGACTCCCCCGGTGCCTGATGCTCTGGGAGAAGGCTGGGGAAGAAGTGAGCACTGGCCACGACTCCGCTGTGTGTGGGACCCTAGACAAGTCTACTCCCCTCTGGGCCTCGGTTTCCTCCCTTGTAAAACAGGGAAGGCGTGGTGGAGGGCTAGGATGACAGGGGGCGGGGTCTGACCTCATTGATGTTGTTCCAGTGGGGGCCGTTAGGTGAGTCCCAACCTCGTCTGTAAAATCAGGACCATAGAAAATAACAAAACAGCAACACCTGCCTGAGTTCAAGGCATCGTTAGTGATGGTTAGGGAAAGAGTGCGTAGGAGGCGGCTTTATGAGATTAAGAACAAGGCGACAGCTTTTTCTTTCATGGTGAGGCAAAGAGGCGGTTTTCTAGGCACGAGCAGCAGACATGCACGGCCAGGGGCTGGGGCTGCCCTTACGGGAATTACTAACTCGTGAGGTCCTCGCAGGGCTGCTGGGAGCGTCTCCCTGCTGTCGTCTCCTTTCAGAGATCAGGAAACTCGGGCACAGACTTACCACCCCGAGATTACACTAGAGCAAGGGGCTGGAGGAGCCGCGATTAGAACTCAGGCCATCAGACTTGAGTCTCACCAAAACTCCACAACTGTTTAAGCCAATGTCACTGCCAACTTGGCGCTTGCCAAGGGCACTTGCCGTCTGCCTCCGTGGGGACGGGATCCTGTGCCCTGCAGCTGTTGACCTTCGACGCACCGAGAAGGGAGGTCGGGGTGAATCACAGGAGCAAGGCTCTTTGTGTTGCAGGTGGTGCAAGTGGTAAAGACCCCACCTGCCAGTGCCGGAGACGCAAGAGGTGTGGGCTCGATCCCTCGGTGGGGAAGATCCGCTGGAGGAGGACATGGCAGCCCACTCCAGTACTCTTGCCTGGAGAATCCCCACGGACAGAGGAGCCTGGTGGGCTACAGTCCACGGGGTTGCAAAGAGTCGGATGCAACTGAGCACTGCACGTTCGTGCACTCACACACACACACACACGAATTCCAGGATGTGGAACAGATCTTTAAATAGTTAGATGTTTTCAGGAACTGATTTCATGAGTCCAATCCTTGCATCTCCTCATGTCTGGGAAAGCACTAAATCCCTTCATGGTGATGTCAGCCCCTTGTGACAAGCAGAAAACCTTCAGTAAGACAAGTGCTTTATTGCCTGAACACCCTTCACCAGAATCACCGTCCCGCCTCCTCTTCGGAGCAGCCTCTCAGAGCCAGCTGAGATGCTGTCTGCTGGGGTGCAGCCCTCACATGGCCCCGAGTAAGACTTAACTTGCAAGTCTCACCCCGGGCATCCTTTTTAAGTCGACTCCAACCGCGTTAAGCCCGTCTAACAGGCGAGGGCACCAAGTCCAAGAGCGGCCGAGGGCCTTGTGGTCAAAGGGAGCTCAGCAGGGAGAGGCTGAGCTGAGCTGGGGTTTGAACCAGGTCTTTGGACACCAGGGCTGCAGTCTGGATACATGAGGTGCAGGGTGTCAGGGATGTTCGGAGAGTCTCTGGGCTTCCTTCCTGGCTCAGGAACCAGGGCCAGGAGTCACTCTGGAGGCCACGCTCCCAGGAGCAGGTGTGTGTGCGCTCTCAGCGGTGTCCAACTCTGGGA